CTTAACCATTGCCGCAACTGCCGTAAACGTCGGCCCCATTCAGTCAACTATGCCGTGATCCCGGCGCAGCCCCTAACCATTGCCGCAACTGCCGTAAACGTCGGCCCCATCCAGCCAACTATGCCGTGATCCCGGCGCAGCCCCTAACCATTGCCGCAACTTCCGTAAACGTCGGCCCCATCCAGCCAACTATGCCGTGATCCCGGCGCAGCCAATAACCATTGCCGCAACTGCCGTGAACGTCGGCTCCATCCAGCCAACTTCCCACCGTGCCCTTAACCATTGCCGCAACCCGGCTCTGCCCGTAACAACTGCCGCAACTGCCGTGAACGTCGGCCCCATCCAGCCAACTATGCCGTAATCCCGGCACTGCACTTAACCATTGCCGAAACTGCCGTGAACGTCGGCCCCATCCAGCCAACTTCCCACCGTTGCCCTTAACCATTGCCGCAACCCGGCTCTGCCCGTAGCAACTGCCGCAACTGCCGTGAACGTCGGCCCCATCCAGCCAACTATGTCGTGTCCCACCGCTGCCCTTAACCATTGCCACACTGCAGTGGAGCCATCTTCATCCACTGCTTATCGAGCGCTGATCCCGGCGCCAGCCTTACTTTCTGCAACAGGGCGGTTCATACTAATTTTCGACGAATGATCATGTCATCAGAAAGCTGCAAATAAGGGAATGCAAACCCGCTTCGAGACTATGTGGTCGCGTGAACAGCAGGACAGTATACAAACGTAGCTGATCCGGAGGTTTGAAAAATGAGAACTTATCTATCGCTTGAAGTAAAAAAGTTTGTGTCTCACATAATATCCCATGTAACTCAAACAAGTGTTAAGCCAGGGCATCTCCGGGCTGAATCTTCCGAGTTGCGTCCTACGGCCAAACGCCCTCATCCGTTGCAGTCCTTTTTGAAGCCCTACTAATGCTCGCGGAGGGGTGGCTAGCAGCCAGCGACCAATTACGAAAGGTAGTGTTAAGGGGAGTTACAAACCAGGGGTGTACAGGGTGGCTATAAAGGTGTAGGCACCTTCTTGCCCGCATTTTTTCCTTTAATAGGGTCCAGCAGGAAGTCTCGACGTACTTGTTATGTGTCGACTTTACGCTGCGAGCGCGCATAGCGGCGTATCTACTCTCTCCGCGTCTCCGTCGCTCATACCGGCTAGCTATCTCTGAGCATCCTCTGTCCAACAAGGTCAGGCATCATGTCGTGGAAATTCGGAGGGGGGCGAGGAGCGAGGAGGTGAAACTTCGGTGGTGGAATTCGTTGCTTGTGGTTCATTGCAGTGGTTTCAGAAGGAACTCCACTCAGAAGATTGCGCATATCGTGAAGAAGGATATTTTTGTGCTCTCCTTTTCCAGCTACCCCTCGGCGTGAAGAGGGGAAACACAACAGCTATAAACAATTTTCCGCGCCTCCCCACCTCTTGGGGATTTCACAGCCCTGGTTCTGACGCTTCTCGCGGTGTTATCAGCTGCCAGATTTTGTTTTCTTCATCAAAAACGAGGATGGACTCGCGTTTTACTTTAAAGCCACTAACAACAACAAAAGGACTGATAATTAGTTGTGAGAAATGGCAATTTCAGTTTTGCTATAATCTGTTCCGAGATTATCACGAAGAAGTCGGCTTGGGATCTCGAGAATCAGGACTACGACATGGACGGTACGGTAGCGTGTTGACTTTTTTCCTATTAATTCAACACTGATATCTGTAAAAAAGAGAAAACCAAAAAAAATCCTTAGAAACAGTGAGGGGTGATGACGTTGACATTGCAGAGGGCCTCACGCATTACGGAAAGAAATGCGCGTTTGAGTTCAAAATATTTTTTATTTAATTTAAAAGATAATCTCCATTACTATCAATGACTTGTTGCCAACGTTTATGCAAAGAATGGATTCCTCTTTCGAAGAACTCGGCCGGCTGCGACTCAAAGTAGTTGGACACCCAGAGTTGGACTTCTTCGCGGTTTGTGAACTTTCTCTCGGCCAGGGAGTGCTGCATCGACCGGAATTGAACTTTCTTTAAAAAAACAAAGTAGACATAGACAAAAATATATCAAAAGATGCACAATAAAAATCTCTTTCTAATAGACAAAACTGTTTAAAAAATCTTCTATAGTAGGAGAGAAATAAATGGACAAATTCAACGCGCATTTCTTTCCGAACAACCCAGCATTATTTTCTCACAACAGTAAGGTTTTGCCGTCAGTGCTGAATCGGAGCAACTCGTGATACACCCAAATGAAACACTTTTCCACTCAGGATAGCTTTGCTTACGTCCTGTTTCCGTTTTTATGATGCACATTCTAGCAAAACGTACTGTTAGCTTTTCCTCAAGTACTACGAAAGTCAAAATGGAAAAATGATTTTTGAAGTCTAGCGGATATTTCGGTGGATTACAATACGCTACGATAAAGCACCGTTGCAGGGTGTTCGGCCCAGTTGCACAAGTACTGCCTTCTTGCCACTCTTTAAAGGCAGTTGGCACGATGGTTTCCTACTTAGCCTAAAATGCTAGTAGGGCGCTGTATAGTGGGGAAATGGCGAAAGAACGGAGTGAAACGGTCAAAATCCTGCGAAGAAAAAGCCTCCGTTCTCAGTGACTTGTAAATCGATTTCGGACGAGTTTCCCGTAGGCATCTTACCAATCACCGCTACCGAAGATACGGCTGCATATGTGTACCCATGTATGCATGCAGCATCACGGCCGCTTCATACCAATCCCTTCGCTTCATAATTTGCTTAGCAAATGAATGAATACGAGCGTCAGGAACGGTCGTCCATTTGTGGGCGGGCGTGGCGGGCGTTTGGGACGTAAAGTTGTGGCTTGATAGGGCCCTTATAAGGGCACCTTCCTCGGGGAAACCGCTATGCAGCGCCTGCCCAGGTCGCGGAATTCTATCCTGCCAGGAGTATTGATCGTGGTCGTCTTGGGGGATCTATCGATAAACTAAGGCTAGGACCTCATAAACGTGTATGATGGTCAAGCAGGCAACAGTAGAGGATTGCTTTTAAAAGTTGAAAAACAGCAAGCAGAACGCAGGCGCTCAGGTTTTAGGCCCATTGGCGCCCGATAGGCCCATGCCGGCCTCCGGTGACCGTGTCGTTGTGACATTGCCATTGCGCTCTCTCGCCCGTCGTTTTCTGGCCTCTCTCGTCTGTATCGCCGCCTTTTGCAATTCACAATTGATCTTGACCACCTTACGCTCGTCCGGTGATCATGATCAATTGAAATAAAGAGGGTCTTATTGCGGGCGGCTTTTTGGTGCTTCCTTTCCTTCAATAAGTCAATCACACGGCAACCTTATTACCTGTGAAGTGTAGTCGCGGGAGTTCCCTTTGTCACATTCCGAACCGCCGTTGTGCGAGGAGCTCCGCATTATAGCATTATTTTTCAAAGCGACAACCAGCTATTTCATCTGTTTCTTTTGTTCTCCTACGGTATACATGTGTATCCGTGTATCCACTGCTATAACTACTATAAACTCCACTATAAACTGCCGTATCTTTGATTTACTGATTACTGTTTATCCGCATGTGTAAATGATGATGATGGAATCCTTAGTGTTATCAGCTTGACAGTGAAGGAAATATCTATCATTTATATCCGAGTAATATTTCAGAGTTGATTTACAAGATCAAACGAGGGGGTCGATCGCCTATACGGCCATCTTTGGAGACCGATGATGAGCACAACGCAAGCCTTTCGCTGCTGGTTCGTGACTGTTGGAATGAAGAGATTGACGAGCGCCCTTCTTGCACTCAAATAAGGACGCTCGTTAAGGGACTCAACACAAACAAGTGAGGCTCATCCGTTTTCCGTAACGGCGCACAATGCCGCATCGCTCTCGGGGCTTTAAAATGTGCTGGAACGCTGGGGTTGCCTCCACTTTTGATAAAGCATTTCGTATTCACCATCAAAATCAAAAGTAGCGGTAAATACCAATTCGGTAGTGGGAGTGCTCGATGAAGGCTATGCATCATAGTAAGATCAGGGACTTGAAATAGATTTGACGGTGACTCACCTGATTTTGCGCGGTCACCAGGCAGAGGTTGTACAGTGACAAGTTGCATCGTCCATCAACTAAATATTCTGGTGTGAATTCAACGATCGAATCTTGCGTTGACTAAACAAGCTTCCCTTTTTTCTCTTCAAAATTCCTACTGATGCCATACTCGTCTGTTTGCCTGAGAGTGTCTGTCTGACGACATCATTGGCCGCCGCAAGCAATAGTTTAGGTCAGATAGCATTCCGCAGTCGCTTCGTTTAGAACGAAAGCCGAATGTGTGGCGCATCTCAACTGGATTTCGAACAATGCCAAAGCGTCATCCTTCTAGTAATAAAGTCGAACAACAAGTCAAGTGAGGCAACATAAACAAAAAGAAATGATGCAGATCTTCTATACCTCCCTAACCTTGTTACCGTAGCAATAATTATAGCATTGCAGTAGTCCACTTTTATTCACGGTTTCAGGTCCTCCAATCTCATGGATCACGTTTTCAACGTGCTTGAGCAATACGCATCCAACCTTGAGGAAGAGGTACCCCTCATCTGTTCACATTTTCTTTACAGTTTTCGGAGCAATACTGAGGCTTTCAGGTGCAAGCAAGAATGCAGGAATTGACAGAGGAGAAGAAAAAGAGCGACATACTTCTGTACAGAATGCTTCCAAAGTGAACTCATTTAGTTTTATTTGCTTCCCATCACTTGAGATCACTTCGTGTGACCCTCTTCTTTACTTGGCTTCCTACAGTCCTCATCACTGCGGACTGTTGGGGTCGGGGTGTGTGGTGATTCTATCGTCGGGTCGTCGCGCCGGTGGGCGGAGCGAGGCGGCGTGGCGGCCGCCGCGTACGAGTTTTGTTGCGTGGCGTTCAAATTGTTAAAGGGTCGACGATCCCTTTAACAATTTGAAAGAGGCACAGCTCCTTGCTCCAATGACAACTCGGGAGTACGGTAATGCAACTCCGGGATTGCCGCGTCGCGTGCCGCGCAGCGACGCGGCGCGGCGTGTGCGGCGTCGCCTGACTTGCCGACGATAGAATCGCCCGGGTGTCTTGGGCTCGCAATCCGTTGTTCCCGGGTGTGCGCATATATGTAGTTGAGATGACCTTATAATTACTTTTTCGCACCTCGGCATACTTGCCAGTGGGATACCCCCGCTTAATTGCTTACGCTGACTGGTGACCTCTCACTGCCAGGCTCACTCAAGACAGAATAACGAGATATGGAATGAATAAAAACCTCATTACTTGGTTTATTGAAACACCAGTTTGGCTGGCGCACACTACTGCGCGCCTGGCGCGAAAAAAATGCGAAATGTTTACCATAGTGAATCGCGATTAATGCTAAGTTTTTTTCTTTCTCGTATAATTATCGCTGATTCTTTTCTTGATTGTGCTGTAGACCTCACGTGAACAACCCTTCCCCTCCCGTTGGACGTGCAGTAAAACAATAGGTACTGTATACTTAGCCTGAAATACGGTGAACCTAGAAGTATAGTGGTAAAAAATTAGGTGGAAATAAGCTCTTATCTCTTATTTACGCCTATCAGTTGATATAATCCCTTGTCACCCGTGATCCATTACCACAAAATCTTTATGATTTGGGTAGTGTGAAAGAGGGTAACGCCTCTTATCTGCCCCTATCAGTTGTTATCCCTCTCTGTGACCCATCAGTAATAACCCCGTCACATCCACTATATCACTTATTGGACCCAACTTCCTACTGTGACGGGCGACGCTTGAGTTTCAATCCCCTTATCAGATCATAATAATTCTTAATGCGTCCTGCCACCCATAAATGATATTCATGACCCATACACTACATCATGTCTTAGAACTAAACGTCCCACCGATGCTGAAACCCACGTTATGAACTTGGTGACCCTCACCTAACACCCCTTATCATCTCTTGTCAGCTAATATCACTTCCTGCCACCCACCAATGAAGTTCATATCCAACCCCCTATGTCACTTCTTGGAATCAACGCTCCACCGCTGCAGCGCAAGTTATGAACTTGGTGACCCTCCCTTTTTAAGACCCCATGTCAGCTGTTATCACTTCCTGCCACCCATCATCCATGTTCCCGTCTCACCCCCTCCCCCCATATCACTTACCAATTCGAACTCTCTACGGCTGAATCAAAGGAATTCATGGATTTCCTCAAAAAAACACCCACACACCAATAAACAAACTTAGCGAATTATATACAGCAGGATACTTACCCGTTTACAAAAATTCCATTCTATATAACTCTTCACTTATATTTATTCACTTAACTCATAGTCAGTAACTTGATGAGAGGTCAGCAGTCAGCGTAAGCAATTAAGCGGGGCTATCCCACTGGCAAGTATGCGGAGGTGCGAAAAAGTAATTATAAGGTCATCTCAAACTATATTGCCACCCCCGTTGTTCCCAGGTGTATGTCGGATGGCGTGGCTGGCAGCTGTTATACCGTAACTGGGACGCTGCTGGCCGTAATTGCCACCTCCACCGAGCCTCTGTAGCCGTCCTCTTGGTCGGACAACTCGTCCACGCCACTTATCACCTTGATTCTCGTAATGATTGACCAACACTGGCAAGACACCAACATTGCGAACAACTTATGACTTAACTACGCATACTCGTCCGTTTTTGAGCTAATTTCCGACTTCTTTCGCCCAACCCTCGAATTGCGAACCCCAACTTTCCGCTACCATTTATTTGGACAAACAATTCGTTTCTCTGGTATTATTTTGTCCAGCTATGACGATGATTATCGACTAGTATTCTTCATTGCATTTCTGTACAACTGCGGCGATACTAATACAGCGGTAAGTTTTGTACATTGCTTAAAAACTTAGTTCCCATGCTGTTTGCTTGCTGGAAGAGCATAGTTTCATGACCATTATAGGATCATGACACATTCTTCTTCTCAATTTGCTCACAGCATATTTTCCATTGGAGTATGTGCTGTCCCGGAGTCTCATTACTCATCTGAATGTGTAAAACAATGTGAAACTCCAAAAATTTATTCCAAAAAACTCAAAAGACAGCAAAAGTCTCAAAAGTTTTTCAAAATATCTTATCTTGCAATATTTCGGTGCGTAGCACCTTCCTCAGGCCTGAAATTATTTAGCTTGACTTCCGCTTACGTTCCTAAAGAAACAACCCGCATGGATCCCTCCCCAACAAGCCACTTACCTAAATGTCCCGGCAAATTAGCCAACCCACCCTAACCACACCCTTAAATAGTGGGATGTGACGCGATCACATTATGACTTGCATAATGTCACGTAGTTCCTCCCTATTGTTTATTTGGGGTAGTAGCCGTTTTATTTCCAAGGCCTCCAATATTTTCCTTTCCATTGCGCTCTCTACCGAGCGGTGTAGTACTTTGACGATTAAAGAGGGGGGTTCTTGGTGAGCGTGCTCCTTATGCGATGCCGGGAGAAACTGCTATTAGGGTAAGAAGGTGGATTTCCCAGCGCCCTCCGGTGTTCGTCGATCCGTTTGTATAGGGGCCTCCCAGTTTCTCCCACATATTTTTGCCCGCATCCTTGACATTCCACCAGATAAACTGTCCCCCTGAGTTGACAGATTTTAGAATCATTGCAGTAACTACAGCCTGCCCTTCCACATTTATCTTCATAAGGCCTAGAAGAAGTAAGAAGGCGTTTTAAATTTGGTGGAGGGGGAATATTAGGCGTATTGGAAGTTTTGAGTGTTTCACAATATTATTTACTTTTAATGCCGTGCTTTCATTTAGGTAAGGTAATACCAAGGGAATTCCGTCCGCCGTGGAATGTGGTTTCCATGTATGGGTGCGAGTGCTTGTATACCCATTCTCTCTTAGAATTCTATCCACCATCGAATCTGCTTCTGATGACTGCTGGGTGCATATTTTGTCCTTAGTGATCACCATATTCCGGACAACATTGGCTTTCATGTACAGGGGGTGACCACTTCTAGCATGCAGCAACACATTCTTCGAAGCTGGCTTTCTATACCAGGATAACTCCGTGGTACCATTTCTGATCCGAACTTTGGTGTTCAAGAATGGGATAAATCCTTCATTGTTGGGGTTTTCCACAGTGAACTTGATGTTAGGGTCTTGCGAATTCAAATTAAGAAGTGTCCCGTGTAATTCCGCTGAAGACGAACCAATTATGAACACGTCGTCGATATACGCTTATAGAAAATTATGCCAGCTGTCAGTGACCTTCGTTCTACGAAGTCCAGGTACACAATGGCCAGCAGTGGTGCTATTCGTAATCCCATGGCCAAACCTCGATGTTAGCGATAGAAGCTTTGCTAACTCTCTGGAGGCAGTACGAGAGAGAAACATACACCTTTGGCCTAGACGAAAATGACCTGAGGGATCTTACTCAGAGCAACGCTGGACAGCAACATATTCCGATTCAACGGAAGATTTTATGTCCAACATCGAGGTTTGGCCATGGGATCACGAATAGCACCACTGCTGGCCATTGTGTACCTGGACTTCGTAGAACGAGGTCACTGACAGCTGGCATAATTTTCTATAAGCGGTATATCGACGACGTGTTCATAATTGGTTCGTCTTCAGCGGGTTCATAATTGGTTCGTCTTCAGCGGAATTACACGGGACACTTCTTAATTTGAATTCGCAGGACCCTAACATCAAGGTTCACTGTGGAAAACCCCAACAATGAAGGATTTGTCCCATTCTTGAACACCAAAGTTCGGATCAGAAATGGTACCACGGAGTTATCCTGGTATAGAAAGCCAGCTTCGAAGAATGTGTTGCTGCATGCTAGAAGTGGTCACCCCTGTACATGAAAGCCAATGTTGTCCGGAATATGGTGATCACTAAGGACAAAATATGCACCCAGCAGTCATCAGAAGCAGATTCGATGGTGGATAGAATTCTAAGAGAGAATGGGTATACAAGCACTCGCACCCATACATGGAAACCACATTCCACGGCGGACGGAATCCCCTTGGTATTACCTTATCTAAATGAAAGCACGGCATTAAAAGTAAATAATATTGTGAAACACTCAAAACTTCCAATACGCCTAATATTCCGCCCTCCACCAAATTTAAAACGCCTTCTTACTTCTTCTAGGCCTTATGAAGATAAATGTGGAAGGGCAGGCTGTAGTTACTGCAATGATTCTAAAATTGTCAACTCAGGGGGACAGTTTATCTGGTGGAATGCGGGCAAAAATATGTGGGAGAAACTGGGAGGCCCCTATACAAACGGATCGACGAACACCGGAGGGCGCTGGGAAATCCACCTTCTTACCCTAATAGCAGTTTCTCCCGGCATCGCATAAAGGAGCACGCTCACCAAGAACCCCCCTCTTTAATGTCAAAGTACTACACCGCTCGGTAGAGAGCGCAATGGAAAGGAAAATATTGGAGGCCTTGGAAATAAAACGGCTACTACCCCAAATAAACAATAGGGAGGAACTACGTGACATTATGCAAGTCATAATGTGATCGCGTCACATCCCACTATTTAAGGGTGTGGTTAGGGTGGGTTGGCTAATTTGCCGGGACATTTAGGTAAGTGGCTTGTTGGGGAGGGATCCATGCGGGTTGTTTCTTTAGGAACGTAAGCGGAAGTCAAGCTAAATAATTTCAGGCCTGAGGAAGTGATACGCACTGCTCATGCGATGAACCGGGAGAACTTTATTGGGGTGAGAAGG